CTTCTTCTTCTTCTTCTTCTTCTTCTTCTTCTTCTTCTTCTTCTTCTTCTTCTCCTGTTCTCCCTGACTAGATGTCATAGGCAGCACATGTCTGCTGTTGTGCAGTAGGTAAGGAGTTATTCTGCCGCTCGGAGAGTCATGGTTCGAAACCCGACTGAGATCATAATTTATTCCTTTCGTCGCCCGTCCTGTTACAAAGTTCTTCCCTTTCGCAATGAGCCATCTATGTGTCTGTGTGGGCGTTACACTTAAACAACAACAACAACAACAACAACAACAACAGAAGCAGCAGCAGCAACAGCAACAACAACTGCAGCAGTAACAGCAGCAGCAACAGCAGCAGCAACAACAGCAGTAGCAGCAGAGGTAGCCACAACAACAACAACGCCAACTCCAAAAAAGACGATGGGAACGATGGCAACAACGACAACAACAACAAAAACAAAAAGAACAGCAACAACAGCATGAACAAAAACAAAAGCATGAACAACAACAATAACAACAACAATAACATCAACAACAACAACAACAACATGAACAACAACAACAAAAACAACAAAAACAACAAAAACAACAATAACAACAACAACAACAACAACAACAACAACAATATCATGAACAACAACATAAACAACAACAACAACAACAACAACAACAACAACAACAACAACAACAACAACAACAACAATATGAACAACAACAACAACAACAACAACAACAACAACAACAACAACAACAACAACAACAACATGAACAACAACAACAACAACAACAAAAACAAAAACAAAAATAACAACAACAACAACAACAACAACAACAACTACAACAGCAGCAGCAACAACAACAGCAGCAGCTTAAACTGTATAAATCTAAAGTCCCTTGCAACACTGCAAGATATTTAAGAAGAAAAAGCAAAAGTAGCAGCACTGAGAAAATGAACTCTTCCAAGAAGATATAAGAAGGTCATAGTTATGAATAAATAATCAGGCCTATACCTTATCTGAAAGGACGTGAGAGAAGTCAAAAAGCCAATATCAATTGCAGTTTATTATATTAAATAACCAAAGTATAAATAAATATTTTAGAAAATACAACATACAACTCGTAGACAATATCAAAAGAATGAGCATTGACCAGTGCCTTTCACAGGAAAGGAAAAAAAATTATGCATGTACGTATTTATAATTATGTATTTATGTATGTATATGTATGTTTGCCATTGTAAACCAAAGTGCCCTTCTGGGACAATAAAAGTGTTATATTATTTATTTATTTATTTTTATTTATTTATTTCATGAGGTAAAATATTAGATCTATTGTTTCCAGCTGGGTAGAAAGTTTATTGTTGTTTTGTTTTTTTCATTTTCAAGACTGAAAATTTTGTTTTTATTAAAATAATCATTGCCAACTCACCGTTGGCGACATTCAATTTGTTCATAATTGACCTTGAGTCGGCTGGCGGGCCAGACTAAAACTGCCCGCGGGCCGGATCTGGCCTGGGGGCCGTAGGTTGCCCGTGCCTGTTTTAAATCGAAAATAAAACCTCGCCTCATTTGCTTGAACCTTAAGATCATAAACAATATTATACAGTTCGCTCTCTTTTAACTGTACGTGTTTCTCAACCCCCCCCCCTCCAACCCCCTCCCCGCCGAAACAATTTAGATCATGATTTAGAAACTGTGCTTCCACCCTGCCTTTTAGGACAACACAAGGTAAAAATGATACTATGTCCCAGCAGAGCGACGAATATACTCCATAGAAATCCTCCCTTCACGGGAATCGAACTTAAGTCTTATGTATGCGATGACTAAGCGCCTAACTACTACACCACAGAAGTGTGTTCGGTTCGTTCAAAGGAAGAAAAAAGTTATTTAATGTGGTTGCAAAAGGAGACTTAATAAAATGAAGCCTGAAAAACGAATTTCATGATTATTGTGAAGCGTATGCTGTTTCAGTACTTATGGCTACAAGTTCACGAGGGATATACTTTTCTGTCCATTCTGTAAATTAACCCTTTGCTTCCAGCTCTATTTTATTTCCAGTCATGTCTGCATGAGAAGTTGGGTCGTTGACTGGAAGCAAAGAGTTAAAGAAAATGAAACAAGAGTATTGTATTTCAAGGATGCACTAGCGTTTACTTTTACTTTTTTTTTAATTTCTTAACTATATTTTAAAAAACCCAAACGGTTGTTTGTCTCAGCTGAGCATCTTTCTCATTGGATCCATCTTTCTTTCAGTTACTCCCTCCCTCCTGTCTGTCTGTCTGTCTGTCTGTCTGTCTGTCTGCCTGTCTGTCTGTCTGTCTGTCTGTCTGTCTGTCTGTCTGTCTGTCTGTCTGTCTGTCTCTTTCTCTCTCTCTCTAATACAGGTGGGATATTCAGTAAAAGACACCTTCGTTATAAATAAGTTTTTCCCTGCTCCCAGGAAACCGGTGAGAAAACTCTTGACAAAGAAACTTGCCAGTGCGAGTATTACCATGAGGCTAATTAACTTACCCAAGTGGTTGATTTAAACATTTTGAATGTACCTACTGTTGGACCCAAAGTATTTTCAAACCCCCGGTAACATATATTTGGCGACTTACTTCGAGCAGCTCGGTGTACTAACATTTTGTAAGTATTTGAAAACATGACTTTTGACAAATTTGGAAGCTCCTTAACTCCCAAACTTCAACTGTTCCACCTTGATCGAAATGGTCTCTGTGTTTGTATAGAGGGAATATATTATGCTGAACAGAAAGTAAAAAAAAAACAACAACAAAAAACGTTATGGTAAGTGCTAAGTAAAAATATGGTAATGAAGAACATAACATGCAAGAAATATTCAGCACTGTACTGTAGAAGTTACAGGACTGAGTAAGTAAAAATGAGACATGAACACTCCCCCCCCAACCCCCCCCCCCCAAAAAAAAAACATAATGTGGGGGTTCCTGCAAATATCGAACATCCGACCTCCTGAACGGCGAGATAAAAGTCCTAACCACTACTACCACCTTGCTGATCCTTAAGTTTATCTTTTTCAAAGGCCTGATCTGGAACAGACATCGGCAATCATAGTTGGCCACTAATTTCACTTCTCGGAATCTCTAAAATCAACACCAAAGCCCCTTTTCATAAGTGTGTTGTCTTGTCACACAACTGTTCAAGTTATCTAAGTTACTTTTTTCGGGTCTACCTCTGACTCTTCTACCGTATTTTTTTCCAGTGAAGGTAAAATGTTCAAGGCCATCGTATCCTTTCAAATGTTCCAGAAACTGCATCTGTCTCTACCAAAATATTGTTTTTCTTCTTAATCAGTGAATGTTTCTTCTTAATCAGTGAGCGTCTCTTCTTAATCAGTGAGCGTTTTCGGAGGGTTTCTATTAGCACCTCTCCGTTTATTGCTTTGATGTCCTTCCATGAAACCATCCTCATCAGTCTACCTCAAGATTTTCTACTTCTTCAGGTGTCACGTCTGGAGCAGACAGCGACGATCATGGTACCTCATCCCTTCCTGTTGTCTGTCTTCTTGATCAGCTCTGTTGTTCTCTTTTTGTTATTCTTTGCAGAATTGTTTAGGTCATCTGTGTATGTTCTAAGGTCATAGAGATAAAGGCTTTGATACTCTTGCTAGACTAGCATCGATTTCTTTAGAAGTTATAAGTAGTCCCTTGACTTGGCTCGCATTGAGTCACTTCCGTCAACGTGTAACCTTAAGACCTTCATTGCTAGGCCCATTTCCCTGATACTATACAGTGCTACACTAGTTTCACTTTCAGTTGCTCCCGAGGAAGCCTACACGGCGAAACGTCGGTCGAGCCGATTCAATAAAACACATTAAATGTTTAAATATATTTACTTGTTTTGTCTGTAAATCAAGCAAGACTCTCCTTCCTACTCTGTTTTTAAAACAATGATGTGTATGTTGTCCTTTCTCCACCTCAAGATCATCATCATCCGGTGCCTTGCCGACTGGCGTGGGCGATCATGGACCTCCACTTCACTCGTCTTGCATTGCAGCGATGGTGTCTGTCGTTCTTGCTGTTCCCAGCGATGTTGTCAACTTGTCGAGTATCTTTTCCCTCTGTTGCTTGTTGTTACAATATTCTTCAATGCTTCTTTCCACATTGTGTGTCCAATGAACTTTGCCTGTCGCTTTCGTTTGTATATTCGTCATAAGCTGTCGTTTGCAATTTGCTTCAACCAAGACATCTTCATTTGTTTTTGTTTTTTTACCTCAAGATACAGCAAGGGAATAGCGTGATTTCGACGAGACAGAACCAGCTGCCGGTGTGTCCAGCTAGGTGCTCACATGTCACAACAGACCAGGGGGCCCCGAGGTCCCATCCCACAGTCCACGGACGGGATAGAGTCAGACTGGTTTTCACACTGGTAGACACACACTCCGCCCTGCTGGTCACACAGGTACTGTCGGAGGGCGAACCCACCTGGGAGAGGAAAAATAATAATATAGTTTGTAAGGGTGGGCTCCTGTGAACGATCTTTTGGGGGAGGGTGGGGGAGTAGTTTTTTAAAATATTTTTTAAAAATTTTTTGGGTTTTTTTTTTTTCGGGAGGGGGGGTGACTGGAACGTCCTACTACTCAACTCGGGAGGCTGTTAGCGTTTTGGAACGCTACCGTATCTGTTAAGGTAATACTGAGCGAGAGTCGCACATTAAAGTCGATTACTTCTCAGGATGGATGTAGTGTTTGGTATAAATACAATGTACTGTAAAAAGTTGTTTCCGCTTTCGATCCGGATATTGGGGATTGCCTTGTTAGTGAGACAACTTCCTGAGCCTTCGGCATATTATTGTGGTAGGGTGGCCAGTTCCTTTCCACGCCGTCTTTACTTTCCCAACTCGAAGTCAGGTACCCATTACTGCTAGGTGGGCAGGAGGGGGCGAAAAAAATCTGTATCCGAACCGAGGCTCGAATCCGGACTTTCCGTTTAGGAGACGAGCGCACTAACACTCCGCCACCGCACCTTCTATAATGTACTGTACATGTAGTATGTAGTAAAAACACAACGCATGTTGTAGTACTATGTACATGATTTGAAAAGAAGACATTGCTATCACCGCGAGCCAGGTGGGACCATCGATTCATGTACATAGTGTGATATCTCAAACCAAGGTAAATGTCAAAATAATCAAGCACCCCCTACCAACTGAAAACGTTTAATGTGTCCCTTGCGCTCATATGACCTTATGCAGTTGCGAGTGCCGTGAGACAACCCCCCCCCCTCCAAAAAACAAAAACAAACAACAAACAAACAAAACCTACAGCAAATACGTGGTAACTACCAAAAGTTAGCTTTTCGTAGTTTACCATAATAATGTTTTACAAGACCTACAGCACCTCATTTGAAAACAAGAATAAAGCATCCTTTGTAATCAGTATGAAGCCAATATGTCGTGTTGAAAATGCTCTCCATATTGTGTCTTTTACTTTTATAGAAACAATAAAACTCATTGGCGTTCCTGGCTGACCCAAGGTAAGACTGTAATATTGGGTAAAGTCAACATAATTTTTTATATGCGTTTGATTTACAGTGCAGAGTTTATGAGTTTATATAGTGATATTTTTCCTTTGCATTGTCCTGTTATTGCTTGTAGCACAACGTATAAAAATAATATATACATTTCCATAGTATTTTACTCGAACTGTGACACTGGTTTGTTGACAATTTTCCAACTGGAATACAAAAATTAAGGGAAAACCCCAGGTCTGATTCAAATAATGAAAGAAGACACAGAAATCACCACACCTTACTGCTGTACTATCTACTGTAGTGCAGCTGGCCTCTGGGTTTTTATTCAAGACCTCCAGATCGACTTCGGCAATGGTTTTTAGAAGAAAGAATATAAAGAGTTGCTTTATTTCTCCCAGTTACACAGTTTAGAGCTTAACACAATCATCATAATCTCGGAGTTCCCGTGTGCAAGTTGCGCACTTTAAACAACCCTTAGCGGTCAAAAATCGATAAGAGTAGGCTACGGCGCCACCCGGGCAAAATTCAAAATTTCCTACCAACTGAAAACGTTTAAAGTGTCCCGCACGCTCATGTGACCTTACGCAGTTGCTTACTTACTTTTTTTTCTTCCGCTTGTACCCTTGCAAGCACCGGAAACACGTACCACCCCCTCCCAAAAAACAAACAACAACAACAAGAAAACAATCGTCATTCTCCTATCCACCACATAAACTCACCAGCAGGTCTGACGTCATCATCCACTTCCCTGTTCAGATCAAACGGCTGACTGTTCCCGGGGTTGGTCCACTGTGGCGGTGGTTGGGTGGGGAAGTTGGGCATCTGTGGGGCTGGCATCCCGCCGTTTGGCGGTTGGGGCATGTAGCTGTTTGGCATCGGTTGGCTGGAGGCTCCTGGCCACACAACTGCTGGGCCATCTGGCAAGGGCATTTTGTTTCCTGCAAAGGAAGAGAAATGAAATGATTGAGTGCCAATCGGTTTTTCGAGATAATGATATAGATAGATCTAGCATTTATTGTACAGTGCAAATTCCCGCTCTACAGCAAGCTCTACGCGCTTCACAATCTATACTATTACCCCAAAAGATCTGAGAGCATTCTGAAACAACCTCAACTTCCTTGGAAGCATACAGTGCAAACTGCCATTTATGGGCTCTAACTTTACTTTTTTTACTTTACTTTTCCGATCCAGCGGCCATTTGGGTTCTAGCCCTTCGGTCTGTCGATGGGCTCTAAAAAAACTAACCTTTAAATAAGCCTAGATTCTATTTATATTTCATACAAAGTTAACCCTTCCTTTTATGGCAAGTTTTAGACGGAGCATGCCTCGCAAAGGTTGTGAGCAATGGAAAAGTTGATAAAATGCGTATTATAAACCTGGACCGGGATGAATGAATTTCGTGTAGGTTAATCAATAATTGTTTCGGATTTAGTTGATTGTAGTTCCTCATTTCTTTCCAGCAGTCACACGGCTACTCCCTTTCCTGTTGCTAA